TGTCATAACAGTAATACGAGACTCAAACCTGATCTAAAATGTGATTTTGATATAAAACAATAGGCCTTGTTTGGAATGGTGCTCGTTTTTCTCAGAAATCCTGAGTAGAACCAGCAGAGTAAAAAGGAAATTGATAAAGTCGACTGACTTGTTTTTCTAACACTTTACCACATGGGCTTTTCAACTATATAGGTCCGAGTGACCCTGTGGCCCAAAATGGAAGAAGCGGGCAAAAGATAATGGATGGATGGATGTTTCCAGACTTGAACCTTAGAGACACCAAAGTGCAACATTTTACTTTTTTATTTTACATAATTAAGCTAACAAATATGTTGTCAAACATGCCTTTAAAGAATATTTGTCTTATTCTTGTCTTACCCTTAAAGAGTATTGGGGAGACATATTTTTATTAAGCAAGCTAACAATGCTACAGCAAGAAAAAGTCTGGAAATGTCTTAGAGAGGATTAGTCTCACACAAATATATCAAATTTTCTATGCAGACCTTTGATTGCTTTAAAATTCTCAATTTGGCCTTCTGGAAAAAAAAAAGTTGCCCAGCCCTGATCTAGACCCGTTCTACTTCTTTTTCCAGAGTATTTTCATTAAACATGTAGCAGACCAAAATACAGAAACATGATCTAACAGCGGTTCTGCTGAACTCCTTTAACTGTGCCATAATATATCTTCACTGCGATTACTGGAGGTATGACGTTGATGGCAACAAATAACCTCCATGTGTATTTCCTGTGCTGAAAGATTGTTGAATTAGGATAGGGAGCACAAGTCCAACTCAGACAGTTGTTCCAGTACAGAATATAATTTCACGTTCATGTGGGAAACAGAATTGATAACAAAGAACGATGTCAGCCCTTGTAGCCAAGTTGAATAATCTGGCAGAAGTGATCACCTCACTTAAACTCTGCAGCTAGAACAACAATATAATCCATTACTGTTTCTGCACTAAATGGAATCTACTTAGGTTTAATTCACAATTATCTCAACTACTATGCAAAGAAAAGTAAGTGTGAGACACAAGAAGGGAAAAAGTGCGCTGTAGGTATTAGCAATAAAACGGGATGGATATTTATAGGGCACAAACAATGCTGGATAAATGCTTCATGACTTTAATTCTCCAGGAAAGAGTTAGAAAAAAAAGGTTACTTTCATTGTTTTTCAAGTACATACCACAGTTTCAGTGTTGCTGAGTGCAAAAGAGAGAGGAGATGGAGGAGAACAAAACGCTTAGTACCACCAAGAGTGTTTGGGAAAAAAACAAAAGCAACGATTACACACGCCATCCATCAATTATGCGTAACTGTTAGTGCTGTAAAGTGGAAAGATTAGCTTCGTCTGTGTTCCCCTTCTTCTCCAGAGAAGTCTGTCCTTCACATGTTAGGTAAAGCTGACGCAGTACACATATTTATCAAGCCAGTGTAATCACTGTTTCTTGTTCTTCTTGTCATCTAACAAAAGTTATAAACAAAGAATATTAATGGGGTTTCGTCCATGGTTAATATATTTGCTCTGGCTCTCGTGTTAGAGTGCCAGAGGCTCATGATTCAAAAAAAAAAAAAGTACAAAAAGGGCAAAATGTTTACTGCTCTCTTAACAACCACAATCTTCACGGGGTGCTGTCTACAAAACAGTGGGATCAAGTTATTTGCATGAATGCTAGGCTGAATTTGGAGACCCAAGAATCTGAGTCATAGATAAATAAAATGTATTCTGCTGGGTTGTTCTTACTGCAGCCACCTTGCTTATTCAGTAGTCCTGCTTTATGTCATAAACCACAGAGAGAAACGTGTCTGAGCATTAAAGAAAATTGGTTTATGGAACAGGGATTGTGGCTTTGGAAAATACATTAAAAAGTAAAAATATATCTGTCAACAGAGCCAGCAATTACCAGCAGACTGACAAAGAGAACAGAACCCAAAATCTTTACACAGATAAGCCTGATCATAATCTCATGTCCGGGTGATTTATTGCAAAAACCCAAAAGGCCTTGGTGCAGAAAGCATAGCCAAAGTGGAACAAACAGCTCGTAGCTTATCATTTTAATCAAACCCGTCACCGGTTTTAAGCAAAGTATTATGTTCCAATCACAGGCATTTGTGATTGAAGTATGTTTGGAACGGAAAACCTGCAATGCTTTTTTCTTTTTCTTCTTTTGGGCCAAGCACATTAAACTCTACGACCTGCAGAGCTGCAAATGTCAGCACTGACTCTGAAGCCTGAAAATGTGGAATATCCTGGCATAAAAAAAACCAGAAGAAACACATAAAATCCAACATTTAGATTAAAAAAGAGAGGATGAGAGAGAAGGCTAATGCCCAAGTTGGCACTAGTCTGTGATGTCTCCTCTGCTGCCTTTCACAACATGATAAATGCCTACAGGATGAGTGCTAAGCTGCTCACACAATTGCATAACAGAACGTACTGTCGTTTCACAGCCTGGTAATAAAAAAAAATTCCTTGGACAATATTACTGAAGCACCAAATGCAATTTTCAAATATAAAGCCTAAAATGCCATGTTTCCCGATTACTTTTATACTAGTGAGAAACAAAGATCATGTTCGTGGGATGGAGACTGAGCGAGCATGTGCAATATTACTTCCTGAAGCACACAAGTGCACGCTCTATCCAGCCTCTTCTCGACTGCGTGGCTGACATCAGGGACTGGATGGCTTTAAATTTCTTAAACTTTATTGAGAAGAATACAGAAGTCACATTGTTTCCACCTAATGGCTAGGCCTGTCATGATAACAAATTTTGCTGGGCGATTAATTGTCTCAGAAATTATTGCAATGAATAATAATATTGTTTGAAATTTAACAATAATTAGTACTTGTCAAATTGTATAAGAAATGTTGATTTGTTTTGAGTGTAGTACCATTTTTAAGCACCGGATGGCAGTGTTTGAAAACTCACTTTTATTCCCAGACTTTTGACACTAAGCGCTGATTTTAACGTGTCTGTATTCTATAACTTTAGCCATTTTGCTCTTATCTTTACCTCTATGCTCTATGTATTTTTACTATATCCTTTGCTTGTTTGTTTTTGCTGTACAGCACTTTGGTTGGCCTTATTGCTGTTTTAAGTGCTCTATAAATAAAACGGTATGGTAAAAGGTGAGGTCTCGTGAGATGTGATAGAACTCAGACAATGCATTGTGGATGACTCTCAGCTACTACCAAACCAAGCTCTGATCAGTATCAGTGAAACTGGCTGGGTTATGGTCATTTTTGTTGGCTGCCATCTTGAACGGAGGCAACTCCAAAATTTAATCAGATTTAGATGCTCCTCTGATGATTAATTCTGAGAGTATCACTAAAATATGTCCACTGGTTCCTTGCAAACAGACACACGCATCTCTGATTATTTATTTAAGATAATTACATATAATAAGTCACTAGATGAGTAAAAACTAATGCCGAATGCCTCTTTTTCAAGTTAACTGAGTTTTAGCATTTACAGCTAAAACCCATAGAGCAGCTGCTTCATCACAAATTGTTCTTTCAGTAGGATGAAGAAAAGTTGTTCTTACAGTAACAATCCATGATGTGCACTGGTCTCACTGGCTAATAAAAGCCATAAGTTTTTATAATTTTTTTTCAACAACACAACTTTGCCAGCTTAAATCCCGCTTGGTTCCCGTTGAACAACTTTTCACCCCTGCCAGAGGATATTAGCCGAAACTGCTTTTAAAGAAACATTTAAATTACAATTTATCAAATCAAAACTGAGGCATCCTTTCTAGTTTAGTGGCGTTAATAAAACCTCTTTAGTGGCCGTAGAGGTTTTGACCAGCTCACACTGTGCAGGTGAACTGAATGCACCCTGGGGGTATTACATCGGCTCTTAGCTGGAGCAGTTTTTCTTCTTTAAGTAAACAATGTGGGGAAGCAATCGTGGCTGCGGCCAGTAACCATAAACCAACATGATTATGTGAAGAGCATGTTTAAGAATGAACGATCAAACAGGATGTCACTGAACTTTGTTATGCTACAAAAATAACTTTCTAGGGCCAAACTTGAAATGACTTCTAGGACGACATAAGCAAACATAGTTTTCAATCCTTTCTCTCAAATAGAAGAATCAGAATCAGACAATAAATTAAGATATTTGACACATGGTTGCAATTAGCTGCCTAAATAAGTTGTGTGATTTTTGTTTCCCAAGCGACAGCGCACATCCCATCAACATAAATCCCAAAGTGCCAGTAAACAGAGCATCACAGTCCATTAAAGTGGCATTTATAACATTTATCAGCTGTCTCAGACAAGGACAAAAGCATCCCCAAGAGTATACAGTCAAAGTAAAGAGCTGCATTAGGATGATTCACTAGCTCTGTTAGTTAAATCCTTCAAAGTTCTGAAGTTTATGTCATGAAAAACTAAAAACTCGTGTTTGGCTTTATACAAAATCCACATTCTTTGTCCTGCGTGAGACTAAGTATTTGATTGTTAAGTTTTCCCGAGCCTCATGCAGCACGGACAGAATAAATTTTAACAATTTAATCTTGAGGCACCACCATGTCTGAAAACTGTCATCTTTTAGGACTGAGAAAAACAGACAAGTGTGAAGGGTTACAAACATCCAAATGATGAGAATACCTTAAAAACACATAGCATCAGTAAAACTTCCTATTTGTTATCAGCAAATCCCCACATCCCCAATCACTTGTGCATGTGATATCTAAAACAAGCAGAGATGAGGCTTCATTTCAACAACATGATCATTTCTGGAAAGCAATCATAAAATGATAATGGAAAATAAGATTTATAGTTTATAGTAAATAAAAAATATATGCTTAAAATGAGGTTATTATTAATATGCAATAGTTTTTAAGGCAAAAAAAATGTGCACATTGAATAATAATTCTTGTAAAATTGTTGATATATTGTATTGTTTAGGTGCTATTAGAGCTCACTGCACAAAATTATAATCCTTTGAATTCTAAATGAAGAACATTTAGGAGAAATAAGCCCTCGGCTGTACCTGTAGCACGTGGTAACTTCTCCAGTCGACTTCACGCACGGGTACTTTGTGGTGGAAATGTTATTTTCTGAGCACTTCCCTCTGCAAAAAGGAGTTTATTTGAAGCGTGTGCGGGGTTTCAATCACTTCTGTGCCCATTAGTTGAGATGCATTACCCTTCACTGACGTCCTCCTGCTGGTAGGACCAGAGCAGAGCTCCGGAGAAGCACATGCAGGTGACGGTGAGCAGCAGGGGACTCCTGTGGGCTCTCATCTGTCCTCTCGCTGGAGCGACGACCTCCACACTGCTTCAGCTCCAGCTGAAAAAAGTGAAGAAACAGGCAAACAGACCCTCCCAGTCTCCAAGAGCTTCTGAGTTTCCACCAACTAAAAAAAAAAAAAAATTATAAAAAAATAACGCTGTCACATTCTTTTTCTCGTGTCACTCAGAAACTCTATTTTTTTTTTTTTTTTTCGTTCACAACTATGTCAGGCAAATATTACAAACTTTTTTTTATCCTTTTATTATTTTGTTTACGCAATAAATTTCTCAAGAAGCAAAGAAACCTTTTTTTACTTATCGGTCAGTTACAGCTGACAGACGATAAACATTATTAAAAGCGCGAGCTCTTTACTTGGAGCGCAAGCGCAGTTTCATTGCGTTTTGAGCTTTGTCGCCCCCGTGCGGCTGAAAATAAAATAACACCTTCCACGCGCTTGACTGCAGTTCAGACTGAGTCAAATAAATAAATAAATCAAGAGGTTTCCTAATAAATTGATTTCTTGTTTATTATGTTCGTATTTTTTAGACTGGAACCACTTCAGCAAAACATTCAGCTTGTTCAGGACAGTAGCTCTCCTACTTTTGGTTTGTTTGCCTTTTATAGTTTTGAATTAGGCTATTTAACTTGTTTTGGATCTTTTTTTTAATCATAGTAACACACAAGGATTTTCTTAGTCTACATTTAGCCAATGTAGACTTTTGTCCTGATTGTTTTAACTTTTACAATTCAGTTTCTTCAACAACATTTTTAACCTTTTTTCTTGCTTGCTTTTAGAGCTGAAATTTACTAAATGTATACCTATATTTGCTCATATAAATATCTATATATGTATATATATAGATATATATATATATATTGTATATGCAAGAAGGTGGGCCTGTGATGGGAAGATCGCTGGGTGAACTCCTGGTACAGACAACATCATAATGTATGGGATTGGTGAAGCACCAACACCTGCCTCCACCCTCATTTGCCCCACTCTGGGCCCTTGAGCAAGGCCCTTAACCCCCACCATCTGCTCCCCCAGGGGCCCTAGATAGCAGCTCTCTGCTCCACACAGAGGGCTGTGGTAGCTCTGTGGTCTGTGGTTGCATCAAGAAGGGCATCCGGCGTAAAAATAATTGTCAAGTCTTCGTGCAACTCAGTTCTCTGTGATGACCCCTGACGAAGGGAGCAGCTGAAAGAAGAAGGGAAAATATATTTAAGGACCTACAAAACAAAACAGATCTGCAAGAAGCATCTCATGACAAATACATAAAAAGCATTAAAAAAAAGTTTGTAGTTCTTGTGTGTCTCCTTGAGTGTTTCTGTGCTGAGACCAATGAGGAATGTCTTCGTTCAGCGGCCCACTGATCTGCAATCCATCCATGCAACTACTGCATCCAGCGTCATCAGTTTTAGTTTTAGTCAGGTGCACTCAGTAAGTTGGAAACTTTCTCACACATTTTTTCCTAAATAATATAATGAGTTTAACTCTTGTAGCTGAAACATTTGTGTCAAAACTGGCATAACTTTGTGAGACCTTTGGAGAAGCAGGGCTTATTTGCAGCATTTTAGTTGGCTCACGCTTGCAGGCCACAGTTATTCAAATATTAATTCACAAACATACTGTATTTCCGTTTGGAAGATAATCAGCAGATTGAATTTTAACGTAAAATTTCTAATTTTGGCCTTTTAGAAGTTACCATGTACGTTGTGTAGAAGATTTAATCCAAATATTGAGGCTGTTTCAAAACCATTCATCTGACATTTAGGTAACAACTTATAAAAAGCACCATTTCAAGTTGAACACATACTCCTACATTATTTTTAACATGAGCTGTATGTTGTAAAACTTGCAAATCATAATAACAATAATTATAATAATAATGTTGCCTGCAGTTCACTTGATCAGTTTATAAGTTTTTGCCTTTAAAATATTGAACTCAGCATTTTCACACATTGGCAAAATGAATATATGGTGAATTATTAAATTTAATGAGTTACTATACAGTAATGGCATTAAGGAGGCAGGAACGTAATTATCTGGAAATGTTCTCAGAAGCATGGAAACAGACAACTGCCTTTCTTACTGTGTCAGAACAGCAGGGATTTACATCAGCTCAGTCATCACAAACGAAGCCATATGCCAAGTTAAAAGAGAATAGTTAGGTTTGTGATTTAACTATTTATCTAAAAGGGAAAAAATCCTGCAGGACAAACATGAACTATTTATAGTCAGGCTTTGGCAGCACACCATGTGTCTGTTATGTCACGTTCAAACACAACTGATTATATGATCCAACTTGCAAAAATAAAAAAAAACTCTACTTTTTATGGCTATTGAGCTGAAGGGGCTTCTGCAAGACCTTAGTTTCAAGCCGTGGCAAACCCCCTTCTTACTCTCCTATTAAAAGGGCTGAACAATCTTACAGTTCACATGAAATATTTGATGTTCTTATAGAAACAATTGCTGAATGTTGTTCATACTATGTTAATGCTACGTTTGTCTCTTGACCCTACAACTGGATAAGGTTACAGTGGTCCTAGCCCATTACTGGAGTTTTAATTAAGCATTTTAAGCTACTAATAAACATGATGGATGATGATCATATTGCTTTATGCTATAGGCCATTGGTAAGAAGGAGTGATTATTATTATATTTTCATATTGGCTAGTGATTTTTCTCTCTAAAAGTGGACTTAGGCTTCACTATGTTTCTTAGACTGCGGCTGATGTGCGAGAGAAGTGGAGCATGCTCTAGTCACACAAGGAGAGCTGTTGGTCAGGCTGCTTCTTGTTGTGCCATTAACTCTAAAATAGTTATTGAATCAAGTGTTTACGGGTGTAGGTAAAACTAGATGGTAAACAACCTGTTAAAATACACCAAAATGCAGGAAGTGGCATCTACTTCATTCAAAATTTTCTGAGGGAGGACCTCCAGACCCCCCCTACCAGTGTGTCCCCCAATGCTTCTGACGCCAATGGCCACCACGTTGCTAAACAAGTACATATATGGGGTCATATGGTTTTCAAAGTGTGCTCAATTGAACTCAGTCGGTTTACGTTAGTCGGGTGGTGGTGGCCTGGGATGGTATCAAATTCCCGGCCTGGATTATTGTCCCAGTCCGCCCCTGTTAGTGACACATCATCAGTCAGAGTGAATTCAGGAGAAAGGTGATAAAAAATATATTTCCAATTACCACAAAAGTCTTTGTTCAACACTGGGAATTGGAACCTTTCTAGTATCGCTTAGCAGGCAATGACACCTTCAGTTTGCTTCAAAGGGCTCTGCTCAGGCGTGACCCTTTCAGCTGGAAGGGAAAGCAGTGTTTCATCGCTCTGCTGGCTTCATTACAGCTCAACCTCTCCTGCACTGCAGACTCCTGCTCCAGTCTGACTGTGCAGTTCAGTTCCCGGCCACCTGATGGCCCTTTAAGCCAAGGGATCCAAACCCACACCCTTCCTTTCTTTCTTTTTTATTTATTTATATATTTCTTCTTTCTTTTTTTTTTTTTTTT